AATAAAAGGTCTGTTAAAACGATGAGAACAACTTAACAGCTCAAAAAAATACACAAGTTTGAAATGCTTTTAGAAAATTATAAATGGCACATTTCTGCTATTAAATCCTTTAGAAATCAGAAATTCACTTCCACATTAATGCTTTACTGTAACTTCAATTTTTGTTTTTTAAAGGAAACAAGGGATGAGTGAAAACTAATTTATGGTAATCAACATTATAATTGCAAAGAGTTTTCATAATAATTTGAATTTCATAATCCAGTGCAAACAATCACTGCTCTGTACGCCTACAGGTGAAATGCCTTTAAAAAGGAGTAACATCACTTCTGATCACATAATCACTGTTGATAGATGAATATTTCATGTGAAGCAAGTGCAGGAGCTGGTTTTCTGGGAGGTAATGCTAATATGGTAGTAATGCACTTGGGTTTCTCTGAAGGCTGAGATTTCAAGGCTGGTGTCATGAAGTCACTCATCTGTGCATGAATGAGGTGAGCGAGTGCTTAATGCGTCTGCTGCTAGCAAATCCCTGACGGAGTGAAACTTCACCTTTTTATCAGGTCTCAACCTGACTGAAGCTGGGTCTTGTTGACGATGCTTCACCCGTGGCTTGTTTGCGTCTTAATACTTCTGACAAATCCAGACCCGGTGCTGTCAGATTTCTGTCCCTCACAGAACATGCAAAAAGAAGTGAATTAAGTGCTATAAACTTTGTCAGAAAACAAATATCTGTATATTTTAGGAGAGGCGATGAGTATACAATCAGTCTTTTTCATAAGAGATTCAGTCAGAGCAAGAACATGTTTGTTTATAATGTGCATGGTAGTCACGTCAAATTTAAATGCTTTGCTATTGAGATTTATTAAAAAATGTATCATTATATAAATGGTCATTAATCCATATGGAACAGAACGTAAAGTGTAGCCATAAATTGTATAAAATATCTCACTGCATGTAGGCCTATAACTTGCATCAAGCCTTTTCATCTTTTTTTCAAACCATGGGCCAGCAGTTTGCTCCATTATATTATGTTGCTTCATAAAAGCCTAAAAAAAATTTTTCAACATGTTTTCAGCTTAGTTTTTGAAGCAAAAATAGACTCAGATCTGAAACCCTGCTTTGCAGCTACACTACCTGTTGTGATGTTTGTTTTTTACTCAGTAGGAAAAGAAGAAATGCACTTATAAGACACTTCCAAATATATACGAACATTCAATTTTTTAAAAAGAAATTAATAGTTTTATTCAGCATGGATGCATTCAAATTTAGAAGATTTTTATTTCAAATAAATGCTGTACTTTTGAACTTTAAAAAAAATATGTAAAAATATCACAAAAATATTAGGAAAAGTTTTTTGAGCAGCGAATCGCCATATTAGAATGCTTTCTAAAGGATCACGTGACTCTGAAGACTAGAGTAATTATGCTGAAAATTCAGCTTTGGTCACAGGAATGAATTACATTATAATAGCAACTGTTTTAAAGGGGTCATATGACATTGCTAAAAAAGAACATTATTTTGTGTATTTGGTGTAATGAAATGTGTTTATGCGGTTTAAATTTAAAAAACACATTATTTTCCACATACTGTACAGTATTGTTTTTCCTCTATGCCCCGCCTTTCTGAAACGCGTCGATTTTTACAAAGCTCATCGGTCTGAAAAGCGAGGTGTGCTGTGATTGGCCAGCTATCCAGTGCGTTGTGATTGGCCGAATACCTCAAGCGTGTGACGGAAATGTTACGCCCCTCACCATACTGTTGATGCCGTGTCCCGGCCGGAGCGACGAGACAAAAACATGAAAACCCATTATAAACGAGGCATTTGTTGCATCCAGTGGGGACATAATTACAGATTATAATGACTTATACTGTCTTTATACGCGTTGCATTACTTTTTTACTGTATTTTTGATCAAGTAAATGTAGCCTTGGTGAATGTAAGAGACTTCTTTCAAAAGCATTAACTGGTAATGTAGATGGAGTTAAACATTGTCTTACTACTTAAGAGGGAAGTTTGGGAAAAGACTTTGTCCCTATTGTAAAACATTTATCTTCCCTTTTAATTATTTGTCAGAGCATCTTATTTTGTAGTCCTGCAGCAAAACTTCTTTCATACATAAGCACTGTTTGGCTTTTTGAAGACTTTTTTTTATCAGAGCGGAATCTCACCAGGGACTATGATTGTGATTAACTTGAATAGAACAGAAAAATCTACATTTGATCCAGAATTAATAAAGAGCTGAAGAGTTGACTTTTTAAATTGTATTTCTTTTGAAAGTCATAAGAAAGCTCTTATTAGGATGTGAGCTGTGTAAAACCTCAGCTATGGCTCTTCATTGATAAGAAGTATAAGATTGATGGCCAAAAACAGAAGCTCCTAAAAAGTTTGCATTCACAGATGTTTACAAGCCGAAAATTATGGGCAAAAATGGTCCAGTGGTTTATAATATTTCCTCCCACTTCTTAATAAAACAGACTGACTTCCAAGGTTTAGAAGATAACTGATATTCTTCGCATAGAGACCATTGACATTTCAACTGTTCCTCCCGCCTGACCACCTCTCATTGCTGTGTGATCCAAAACACATGCCTTGATATTTTTATTTCTTTAATTAATCACAGGATACATGAAACAAATGATCTGAAAAAGAAAAAGTCACTAAAGATTGATGTCGCTAATAAAAACCGTAGTGATTTTACTGTAGGTCCAACAAGCAAATCCCAGCGGACTTCTGTGAACTCTTGTGAGCGATGATACAAACTCTGAATCTATTTTTTTTTTTTATTATTGAACCAAAGTGTCCAAATTCAACCTTTATCACATTAATACAGGAAAGCAAGCGATGTGTAATCTCACAGAATCAATAGATGATCCATGTACGCCCTGGCCGGCCTGGAATCACAGAGCCCTGACGTTCAAATAGAAATATCCTGTTCTGGCTGGCGACGAGGAACCGGATGATTGATCTGGGTGTGGTTCCTGAGCTCAAATATCGGCCTGTTCCTATTTAGGGCCTGTGCTGTGTTATGTGCTTCTGCTGTGATATCATCTTCAGATCCCCTTCGAGAACACTGACCATGAATCTGTTTAGTTTTATGTGGGGTACTAGTTTTGTCGGCTGTTGGTTTAGAGCTATGAAGATTTTCTACATGTTTCTTTATTTTTAAAGCATGAATGCCATGAAAAAACCCTTAAAATCGAGAGGAAAATCATTCAAAAAATGCATATCATTTAATGAAATACTGCCATGCTAATAATCGAAAGCTATCTATCTATCTGTCTGTCTGTCTGTCTGATTTAAAGTGTATATATTTATATAAATTTTATATAATAAGTATATCACCATTTTTGTATGTTAATATACTTGTTTTAGAATTTTTATGATATCTAGAAAGAAATCAATCTATTCTATATTTATAAATTTGGGATTAAAAAATATGAGTTAGTATTGGACAGTGCATTGGATTGTGTCATTTCCCCTATTTTATTTTATTTATTTTATTTTATTTTAAATTAAATTATTTTATGATATATCTTTATTTGTTTCTTTTGAAATTGGCATGAAATATGGCTTGTACATGTTTTTGCAAGATTCACTGTAATGTTGTCTCTGAAGATGCTTTTTAAATGTCAGCTTATGAATCCTGTTTAAATCCAGGAGCACATGCTCAGTCATCGGTCTATGCACCAGGCATCGTTACTTCAATATTTTTGCTTTGTAAGATTTAAATGTTAAGATTTATTTAAAAGCACATGTTCTAATCTCCACTAACTTTGTAACATTAAACATGTTGTTTTGTGTCCACACTAGCAAAATGTCTTTGCTTTGATGTTCATCTTATCGAGGGCAGCTGAAGGATGATACGTTATTGTCAAGCCATTGTTAGGGCGTTGTATGTGAATGCGCATTGATTTTTGCCTGGTTGTCTATGTTGTTGTCGTCCCCTGACAATTGCTAATTGCATTTTCATGCTCTATGAGTCACTCAGCAGTTGTTTACTGTGCTAGGTTAGAGACTGTGCTTATTGACAGTTAGCAGTCAGTGGTCTAACCCAGCCAGAATGAGGAGAAACAGACAGGCTGCTGAAAGGATGAGTATTGAGGGAGGAAAACTAAAGGTTTGAGAGGTCACAAGGCATTCTGTTTATCTGCTTGAATTATTAAGAGACTATTCTTTTGTCATAGCTGATACTGTATTGTGTGTTTCAGTATGATAGGAACTGTAATTCCTTTTAAACACAACAGCATCTGTAATTGTTTAGCTTTTATGCATAATGCTGTTTTCTGGCATTTGTGTATGTGGTTTTGTTTGTTTATTTTATTTGTAAAACAAATATGTTTGTATTTGAAGAGATGTAATGCTCTCGCATATAGCCAAAACTGTTTTGGTTGTCTGTTTGTTTAATCTGTTTTTATTAAAAAAAAAAATAAATCTATTTAATAAATTTGGGATTTAAAAAATATATCGTCGGTTAATATTTGACAGTGTATTGGATTGTCATTTCTCCAATTTTTTTTAATCAGCTTTTACATTTATTTTTATGATATTTGTAAATAAAATCAGACAGTCTATTCTATTTCATAAATTTGGGATTTTACAAAATGGATCAGTATTGGTTGATATTGGAAAGTGTATTGGATTGTGCCATTTCCCCTATTTTATTTTTATTTTATTTTATTTTTTAATTTTATTAAGTTGGTATTTTAAAACTGTATCAGTATTGGTTAACATTTAATTATTTCATTTATAATAAAAAAATAAATATAATAACATTTATAATAATTATAATAACATTTATAATATTTATCGTTAATTTTATTATTATATTTTATATATTTGTTGTTGTTGTTTTTACCTCCCTTTACTGCCAGTAATAAAGCTTTATTGGCCTGATTAACAATTACAATTCTCAGAGCATAAACGTCATACAGAATTAAAGAGGAGTAGGAAATGAAGCGAAAATTAAAAGATTATAAATTCCCTCTCTCCTTCTTTTACAGGACACAGAAATTGCTGCAGACTGCAACCATGTAAGTACTCAAAAAGGCCTGCCTTAAATAATAATTATCATCGGCGTGAGTCATCTTCACAGCTCCACACATCTTTTAGGGTGATGTTCCCTGTTTACAAGACCCTCTGCGCGCACTCCATTCTTTCAGACCGATTCTTTGTAGGTTTACGAGAGAATGCGTCAGTAGGATTTAGAGACCAGTAACATCAGCAAGTAATTTCAGAAGAATAATGGCCTAATCACCATCTAATGATGGCTGCAGCCCACAATTAATTTGGTGGGGTCCCGAGAGAGGTATCTGTTTCTGATCTCCTTCGCTAACATCCGTGGCTTTGATGTTCTCATTAAGGCCGCAGCGTGAGACCTGGTCCGCAAATCAGAAACGAGGAAAATGTAGGAGTATGATTTAGGGCTGTCGAAATAGCTGAAAAACTAAATTCAAATTTTGTACTTAAACGTTATCAATATTCGAATTATATTTGAATTTAAAAGGCATAATTTCAGTTAGGGAGGAGAAAGCTTTTGGCTTCTCTCCTGAGGCCACAAGAGGGCACATCGAGCAAAATACTATGCACGTTTCTTCAAAGCATAATAAAATAACACGACTATCTTTGAAAAAAGTGCATAATGTTTATAAACCTTATATAATTAAAGTTGCTTAAACAATTAGAAACAAAACAGAATCATGCATGTATAGTTTAATACAAAGGACCAAAAACATGTTCTCATTAAGGCCGCAGCGTGAGACCTGGTCCACAAATCAGAAACGAGGAAAATGTAGGAGTATGATTTAGGGCTGTCGAAATAGCTGAAAAACTAAATTCAAATTTTGTACTTAAACATTATCAATATTCGAATTATATTTGAATTTAAAATGCATAATTTCAGTTAGGGGGGAGAAAGCTTTTGGCTTCTCTCCTGAGGCCACAAGAGGGCGCATCGAGCAAAATACTATGCATGTTTCTTCAAAGCATAATAAAATAACACGACTATCTTTGAAAAAAGTGCATAATGTTTATAAACCTTATATAATTAAAGTTGCTTAAACAATTAGAAACAAAACAGAATCATGCATGTATAGTTTAATACAAAGGACCAAAAACCAATCACAAAGAGTACTTTCTTCATTTAAAAACTTGAGAAGCAGTTGGATGGGGAAAACCGCCATAAAGTCTTGAGACATGTTTTTTAAAAGTTGAACTTACATTAATTTTGCATCGCTTTCTAAAGATATGGCTCTCTTGTGCGAGACGCGAGTGCAAC